GCTAATTAGAGCTCAGTTCCCTAATTCTGCTGGCCTCTTCGGTATGTTCCAAAAGATCTAATAACGTCTACAGAATTGTTGCAGGAGGTTTGTGGCATGAGAAATTGGATGTCAGGGTAACGGCCATGGAGAAAAGGTGAGCCAGAAACACTCGGCTCTGGCCTCAAGTCAAAGGAGTCATGACATGCTAAAAGACAGAAGAACATATATCAGTGCTGCTTGCTCTGGTCCAGCAGTGTAGTTGCTCAGACTACACAAGGAGATTAAGGGAGGACAGGAATATTTCTCTGCAAATTTAAGTGCTGGGGAAAAAACCCTCTTGCAGGAATCAGTTCTTTGTTCCACAGTGCAAACTGAAGGCTAACTTTGCTTCTCTGAAGCCAAAGCTTTGCCAGGTTAAACAGAAATTCAGGCTACATGTGATAGCAGCTCATGTCAATCCTTTCTTTGTTTCAGTCAACCTGGCTGTTGCATCAAAACAGAAAATGAATGCTGAAGAGCTGTGCAGGAAATCTGACATGCAGTCGCTTTCTGTCTTCTCTGATCTGCAACTCCCTTGATAGCAGAAGGCCCATTTCCCAAGACCTTCACAGCTGTGATAGAGCAGCTGGAACTGAGGGAAATGAGAAAATGAGCACAGGTAGTAGAAGTCGGAGCACAGTGAACAGATGGTGTTTCAGAGCTACAGCAGCTAGGAAAGAAAGGCAAAGACCTAGATGGAATGGGCCCATGGGCCTAAAGCCACATAAGCTAGAGGGGTGCTGAGGAAATCTCTGCTTTGGCTGAAGGAGACAGGCTCAAGCGTTTCTCTTGAGAAAGTTAGGCTTTGGTCATGTGAACTGTGGGAGGCATGCTGAGGTGCTGCTGTTCCTGGAAAGGATTGCTGGCTGGCTGTGTCTGGTAGCAGGAGTGTGCCCAGCCTGGCACTGAAGCTATTGGCAACACCTGCATGACAACCTTAATCCTGTGTTTCTGCTGCAGGTGGAGTGATTGGAGCATACCGGTAAAAACTGTAGCTTTGATAACAGGACAGTGGATGGAGAGGGAGATGCCCCAAGATCCAGTATCTGGGAACAAAATGCTAAGCTGGCTTGTGAGGATAGTGAGAGAAGTTCTTCCCTACAGCCAGCGGAAGATGTGAAAGGGTCAGGGCACGTGGAAAACTCTGCAGGTATTTTTGAGGCGCATTTAATAACGCGCGGAACTTGTAGTTTGATGCTTGCAGTTTAGAAATAAGAAAGAATTCCGTCTCTAACACTAGGACGGCTGAGACAGGAAAGAAGCACCTCTGACTAGATGACTACACGTATTGACATAAGAGACTGTTCAGAAGCCATAGTATATCTTGTTTGTGTGTGAGCCAAAGAAAGATGGTGAAAATAAACATGAGCAGGGGGGAGGAGTGACCCAGACAGTAGAGCAGATGACCTAAGGAAAAAATCATCAGAACCGTAGTTGATGCAACTCAATATACAGAATATACAGAGGTAAATTTTTCTGAAGGGTGTTGGTGCTAAACAGAAATGCGCACACAACATATTCCTTTTCTTCCCATTGTATACCTGTGCAGACGTGTTATAATATGCTGGATTTAATCTTCCTCAGGAACGCTGTTATTCCTCTTTCTTTCTCAAATCTTCACATGGGGAGGTGGGGGAAGAAAAAGACAAAGCATCTACATTTCTAACAGTTCCCTGTTTTATTGCAGTACATCAAAGTAGGTTAATATTAAGTGTGTTACCAACATAAAATATTGGTGGCAAGTCAATTATTACATTGTTGACTCCTCCACCTTAAATATTTCTGTGCAAAAGAATCTACATCATTGTTCTGTAGCAGAGAATCTCTTACAATGTCCCCTACAACATTGAGGGCATTAAACAAAATAGTGAGAAGAGGCAAAAAGCAGAATCTTTCCCCCACACGCACACTTGTCAGCTTTTGTACTCTAAAACAAAAAAGTGATTACATCTATGCCATGCAAAACTGTACAATAATATTACAATGAAAAACCTAAAAAACATTTTAAAAATAAATGATATGAAACTGTCATACATAAAAAGGCAGGTATAATTGCTCTGAAATACCAACACTGGTTTGTTTGTGGATTTCTTCCCTGTGGATGAGACTGTTTCTTATGCAAAATGAAAAAAGGCTGTGTTAAGCTGTGGCTGGAAAGAAGGAAAAACTCTGGTTTAAGTTTGGATTGGAAAGTCTGCAGTGGAGCTGTTCCTGGGGCTCTTTATTCAAATGTAGTGTGAACACCTAAAGCATGCTCAAGGGTCCAATTCATGTTAGTGCAGAAAACTGTCCTGTTTCCTCCATGGAACAGACTGCTCTGTAAAAAGCTAACAGAAGATACATGTGCCGTTTTAATTCTCAGGTGAAGACTTGAGGTGTGGGTACTTGCACTGTGATGGATTTCACCCTTAACGTATTAATTTTAAATTAAACAGCATGAACAACATTGAAAAAGCTTCCTCTGCCCATGTATGCATTTGACAAGACAAGGCAGTGCCAGAATCTTTTAGTTAAAAAAAAAAAACAAAAACAAAAACACAAACCTCTATCGTGCTCTGCTCTGAAGGGCTGACAGTGAACCAGTTAATTGTGGTTAAACTGTATTCCTACAAGTATGTTGGGCTTTTCTGGTATGGCAAGACCCTTAATCTCCTTCTGCTGAATACCTGAGAGTTCAACACGCGTGGGTTGCGATCTTTCCAGAATCTCATCAAAGAGGTAACATTCCGGACTTGGTTCTGAGGTGTGCTGAAATCGGCAAAAATCCATGTTCATAATCAACCAGAGCAACTGAGAGGAAAGAGGAAGCTACCGCAAGAGGAATGCCTTTTGAAACCAACAGCCATCTTCTACAGGTCAAATACAACACAGAAGAGAGTACTCTAACCTCCTGCTTCTGCGTTTGTGAAGTAAGGAAGGAGGCCATGTCTGTGCGTGCGTGTGGAAGAGAAACTATTTCCCAAACCTTTTCCATTCTGTAACCTGGCGTCCTTAATAGCTGCCTGAATTTGTTTGGATCCTTTGTTGCCATCAAGAGGAAAAAAAAAAAACAATGCAAAAACCCAACAATCCGTATGTTTAAAGCAGTGTTGTAAATACAAAACACCTTCAGTCTCAGCCAAAAGGAAAAAAACATAGCTAGATATATACCGTGTATAGAGAACATATGCTACAGTTGAAAGTCAAAGGGAGATTTTTTTAGCTCCCTGGACAAATTGCAGCCCTCTAACGGTGAAGTTGAAGCAATGCTACAGTACAAAGTAGCTAACATCAAACCTTAAGAGACAACTGTCTTTGAGATACCAGTCAAGAGTCTTACAGTTCAAATGACCAAGTAAGTTGCTTTTCTTAGCCCAATGCATACTTAAAAAGCTCAGCTACAGTGTGCATATTTGTTTTCAGTGTTCATACCAACAAAAAGATGAGTGTGGTTTAAAATTTAGTGTATAATCAGATGGTCCCCAAATATATAAAACTATTCAAGCCCTAGGACAACTTTCTCCCTTTCAAATAAGTGATGTGGTCATTTGCTTTTCAACTGAGAGAACAGTTGCTGTTTCTCTTTTCAACAGATGTGTATAAAAATGCACAGTACCAAACTAATGATTAAATATAGTAATCCTAAAGGAGACTGCCAAGGCTTAGAAATGGTGGTGTACAAACAGCATAGGCCTGTGGAGCTCTCAGCTGGTGGAGATTAGCTTTGTAATGCAGCTAATCCATGCTCTGCCTGAAAACTTCAGTTTGCTGTCAACAGGTTGCAGGCACTGTAATGGCGTAAACACGCTGGTTTA